TGTACAACCTCCTTCAGGACATTTGTTCCTGCCCAAAATGTCCGCAGAGACAGTTGGTCCACACCAAAACGTTCTTGATATTTGGCCCTATTCAAAATAACCACAGAGACACTTGGTCCATGCCAAAAGGTCGTTGAAATTTGGTCCTATTGAAAATGTCCATGAGCATATTTGATCCATGCCAACTGGTCCTTAATATTTGGTCCTGCCAAAACCGGTTTGGCTCAGTGGATAGAGCGTCGGCCTGCGGACTGAAAGGTCCCAGGTTCGATTCCGGTCAAGGGCATGTACTTGGGTTGCGGGCACATCCCCAGTAGGAGATGTGCAGGAGGCAGCTGATCGATGTTTCTCTCTCATCGATGTTTCTAACTCTCTCTCTCCCTTCCTCTCTGTAAAAAATCAATAAAATATATTTTAAAAAAAAATATTTGGTCCTGTTGAAAACATCTACTCTTAGAACATGAATCATAACAAAAATAACATAAACAAAATTTTAACAAGTTAAATGTGTTATTTAATGACATTTTGGATAAGACCAAATATGACCAGCTACCAGGTGTACCAGTTAATAATGCGGATTTTTTTTCAATAGATGGAGTTACATGGACCAAGTGTCTCAGTGGACATTCTGTATGGAACCAAATATCAACTAGCAAATCTGTAACACAATGTCATAGTAAAATTGTTCTGAAATGTTGTGACAAGGATATTTTTCAACAATCTCATTTTACATACATGAAACCAAGATCAAGCAAGGCTATGATTGTTCTAGGGCAGCGGTGGGCAACCTTTTTGTGAGTGCGTGCCAAAACCAGCAAAATCTCTGACTCAAAATTCTTCTGCATGCCAACCCTAATTTTTTGAGAACATGTTACGCCTACTTGATATCTCTTAAGGTGTACGTATGTGACGAACCTTGAAGAAATGATAAAATTCATTTGAGCGACAAAAACACAGTATATGATGATGAAAAATACATTTATTTTTTAATGTATACATGTACACTGATAGTCCGACAGAAAACTTTATGACTCCGTTTGATATTATCAGTGGGACTTTTGCTGCTGCATCACTGATGACAGAGATTTTACATCAGGTTTATATTTCATGACCTTCAGAGATATGCACGAGCTACTACTTTCATCTGTCAGGCTACTCCTATTATGAGACTTAACAAAATTCATCACTGAGAACAAAGATTCACAAGCGTATGTGGATGAAACCAAAACACTGGTCGGATCTAGGAAGGCAGGGAGAGTTAAGGCAGAGGCATAGAAATTGCTCTTCCCCTCTCTCGTCAATCCATGTCTATGGTCTTTAAGATAACTTGTCATGTAAAATTATTTATTTATCTAAGATGCACCTACACTGAATTTATAATTGTAAATGGAAGATTATAAGAGAGGGTTTCGCGTGCCAGCAAAAGTTACTGGCGTGCCATGTTTGGCATGCGTGCCAGGGGTTGCCCACCCCTGTTTCTAGGGCATACAAAATAGCTGGATCTAGCCAGTTGTTCTGCTAGTGAAAATGGTGGCACAATGATCTGTCAATAGTATGGGCTTGAAGCCTGACAATCACAGTTGGATATCCAGTTTTCCTGTGTACAAGAAAGTATGACCTCAGGCAAGTAATATAAGGTATCCCCCCCAAAAATGTATACACACACTTTGAATAATTATAAAGGCAGTGTTTATTAAAATATATTCCATTTTCAAAATTGAGCTATCAGCTGTTAAAGTGTGTATACATTTTTGGGACACCCTTATATATTCCATTTTCAAAATAGAGCTATCAGCTGTTAAAGTGTGTATACATTTTTGGGACACCCTTATATATAACCACTTAAACTATTTGAACCACTAGGATAGTGCTAAAGGATAGTTTGCTATTAAATAAATAGTGGCTGTTGTTCATGATGATGATGACATTGATGTATTCATAATCATCTCATCCCATCATTCATAGCTTTTTACTTCCAGTATAATAGTGCATCACATTATACACTTTTATTTTCAAATGACACACACACACATATATATATATATATATATATATATATATATATATATATACTATTATTCTCTACAAAGGAGATTAGTATTTAGGATTCTTAGTGCAGAGATTTAGGAAATTAGGACTGTGCATTTTTCAGTGTCACAACTTCATATTCTGTTATTCAATTAAAATTTCAATTAAAGCAAAGTTCATAAATATGTAATCACAAGAGTGAAAAAGAAGATATATTAGTAAAATGGGCAGTTTACCAAGCTATTACTCAAGTAAGACAACACAATTTTTTAAAACAAGGCAATCTGATTTTCAAAAGGCACCCAATTATATAATCTCCTCCTCCATCTGAACTTTGTATACATGGTCTCAATAAATTACTTACTACCTGGCTACCATGAGAATATATGCTCCAGGCTTAAAAGTCTTAAACTATATTACATATTTTATAAATTGAGCAATTGCTAAGTAAATAATGTTTTCTTTTTAAATTCTATTTTCTTTATCTTCAAATAGTTAATGTTGTTTCCTTTAATATCTGTTTCATACAGTGTATTTTCCAATAATTTTAATGAGAAAATGTGACATTTTATAGCATTCATTAATCCCCATGATATCAATGCTAGTTTGAAGATTAGGAAATTCAGTCAAGAAAAAAGTCTTTACTATATTATATATTGGATAAGATGCAACTATTTAGCTTGTCTCTGTACAGATTAAAAACTCAACATTCAAATAAATTGCCTGAAAATATCTTGATTAAATCATAGTGACTAAAATCTAATCCCAAGGTTTAATACATTTCTTATTGCAAACTAAACATAAATGACTTTTGTTTTTATTTAAATATAGATTTCTTAGAGGCATCTTAAATGCTGTGTCTAGATTCTTACTGACTCAATAATAACATTTAATTAGTCTCTATGAATTAGTCATAGAATACTATGATATTCTCTAATAGATATGCATTTTTATTAGTCATAGAATACTATGATATTCTCTAGTAGATATGCACTTTTATGAGGAAGTTATTATTCTGTATATGAATTTATATGTGATATACAGCATGCTTGATTCTCAGAGAAAGAGCTACTTTGCAGAAGTCTTAAACTAATCAAATTTAATAAATTAATATGGTAAGGAATTAAGTGGTTTGCTTGTCAGTTATATTCTTTCTTTGATTCAATTTGCTGCTTAAACTGACTAGAGGCCCAGTGCACAAATTCATGCACCAGTGGGGTACCTCGGCCTGGCCTGCGGGATCAGGTAGAAACAGGCTCTCCAACATCCCCTAAGGGGTCTCGGATTGCGAGAGGGCACAGGCCAGGCCGAGGGACCCCACCGGTGAACAATTGGGGCTGGGAAGGGATGCAGGAGGTTGGCCAGCTGGGGAGGGACCACAGGAGGGCTCCAGGGTGTGTCTGGCCCATCTCGCTCAGCCCCAATCAACTGGACCCCAGCAGCAAGCTAGCCTACTGGTTGGAGTGTCTTCCCCCTGGTGGTCAGTGCACGTCATAGCGACTGGTTGACCAGTCAACTGCCCCCTGGTGGTCAGTCCAAGTCATAGCGAGCGGTTGAGTGGCTTTAGCATATAATTAGCATATTACTCTTTGATTGGTTGAACGGCCAACTGGATGACCTGACACTTAGCATATTAGGATTTTATTATATAGGATTAGGTTAATGAATTTTTTATAGCGATCAAAATAAAAATCAAGTTTTATTCAAGTTAAAGGATATTAAAGGGAATGATTGATTTAATATTTTAGAATATTGATAATTAACTGAATTATTACTGTGACTAATAGCATAGGAAGGAAAAAATAAAACAATAATCTAGAAGCCTGAATTCTGGTGATGATCATACATGAGCTTGGTCAAGTTCTTTAACTTCTCTGGGTTTCAGCTTTCTTACCACTGTTATTAAGCAATTGCCCATATCCTACACCAAGAAAATTATATCCAATTAAAATTTCAGTAATACAAAGAAGTACCAATGAACTAATTGAACTAATATATTTTTAAAGGTTTCTAAAAGGCAGCCCATGCAGTTTTAAGAAATGATTTTATCAATGACAGAAGTAATATGTTGTTGCCATATGTTATCTAGTCTTTTCATCAGTAAAGGAAGCTTTTAAATAGCATATTCTTTTTTAAAATATATTTTATTGATTCTTTACAGAGAGGAAGGGAGAGAGATAGAGAGTTAGAAGCATCGATGAGAGAGAAACATCGATCAGCTGCCTCCTGTACATCTCGCATTGGGGATGTGCCCGCAACCCAGGTACATGCCCTTGACCGGAATCGAACCTGGAACCTTTCAGTCCGCAGGCCGACGCTCTATCCACTGAGCCAAACCGGTTCGGCTAAATAGCATATTCTTAATTACTGCCAAACATCTGAGTACCAATTATGTACACCCTTTTGCTGTGGAGGTGGAGTTTATAACTTTAAACTTGAATTGAGCACTGTTAAATGTAAAGGCAATCTTTTTTTTCACCTGATAAAATCTTTATTTCTCCTTCAATTTTAAAATTGGGGTGACATTGGTTAATAAGATTATATAGGTTTCAAGTATACAAGATGGTGATTCTCTTTCTACTTTGTAGAAATAGACAACAAAACAGTGTGTAAAGCCTTGTTTGTTGACCAAAGTGTTTAAGGAAATAAATTAGCAATTATGTAGACAAAACACTTCAGTCCATCTGCTGATTTAATTTTCAACATATACTTAATCTTAAGAGGTGGGGTATTAAGAATATCTCCATTTTATTGGTGTTTTTGTGAAAAAAAGAAGAAAGGGTTAGCTGTGGGTTATGACCTTTGTCTTAAACACTTATTTTGGGTTTGCATCCTGTGTGCACAATAAAGGGCAAATATGATGGGGGTCTTGGGAATTCATTTCCACATTTTCAGGCATACACTAAGTTGTAAAGTAGATTTGGTAATGAAATGTCATCCCGAGAAATCTTAATCTTGTGTCTGTGTTTCAGCTTCTGATATGGCGGCGGAACAGGGGCAGATTTTGGTGATAGCCACCGCGGCTGTCGGGGGATTCACTCTCCTGGTCATTCTTACTTTGTTCTTCTTAATCACCGGCAGGTAACTGATGTATACCAAATCATTCCCAAGATTTGTGGAAAGCATTTTTAATATACTGTGTATTAAAATGTTTTTAAATGTAACAAAGCACACCTGAGAGAAAAAGGGATCAGGGTCCATTCTGCTCTGAGAGTGAATGTTGTAAGATGACAGAACCACCATGGCTCATTCTCTGTATCCACAGGTCCCTGAAAAATGAGGCAACCAGAGACTTGATAAGAACACTGTGAAAGCTGTAAATGATACATTTCTACTTGATAAGTTAATTCTGAGTTTTCCTTTACTACTACCAAATTATACCATAAAAGGGATTTAGAGAAAATTTAACAGAGATTGAACAATTTATATGAAAGTTCTTTATCAATTTAGTGTTACAGAAATGTGTTATTTTCAATCCATTACATATTGAAAGAATCTATCTTAGAATAAACCCTGCTATATTTTCATTGCCATTTATAACATAAGTGCTGCCCATGCATTATGAATTTGGGGGCACTGATATCTTGATAATACTCTTTCATGGACTTACATACACTTTAAAGACAATCAGTTTGGAGCCTAAAAAGATTATTCAGTTATTAAAGTTCAATGAGTACTATAAGGTGATATTAACTCCAAATACACAAATTATGTTAACTAGACTGTGATAATTTAGATATGATGGTTAATTTGATTCAGAAAGAGTCTTATTTTCTTACTTGAAAATTTCTTTGAAGTAGTTTGGGATGCTGTCTTAAGTATGATTTTATTTAAACAGCGATGTCATTTATCGCAAATTTAAAAAATGACTCTAACTTCATAATGGAAATTGATTTAAATGACATTTTAATAGTAATCCAATATATGGCAAACTTGGATGTAATTTTAAGTTACATTTATATGTATTGTAGAGTAGGAGTTAAGGCCTTATTTTCCCATAGAGTATGGTATTTCAGAAAATTATATAAAAGCACATATACAGTGATATAAATAGCACATGCACATGTGGAAAAGCATTTCATTAAAATATCAGAAAATATTGCCTTGGCATGAAAACAGACATGTAGATCAATTAAACAAAATAGAGAGCCCAAAAATAAAGCTATGCGTACATGGTCAATTAATATTTGACAAAGGAGGCAAGAACATACAATAGGGTAAAGACAGTCTCTTCAATAAATGGGTTTGGAAAAATAGGACAGATACATGCAAAAAAAATGAAACAAGATCACCTTCTTACACCATATACAAAAATAAACTCAAAATAAATTAAAGATTTAAGTGTAAGACTCCATACCATAAAAATCTTAGAAAAAAACATAGACAGTAAAATCTCAGACATTTCTTATAGCAATATTTTTTCTGATATATTACCCCAGGCTAGGGAAACAAAAAGTAAAAATTAACAAATCAAACTAAAAAGTTTTTGCACAGCAAAGGAAACCATCAACAAAATGAAAAGACAACCCACTAAATGGGAGAATATATTCACCAATGATACATATGATGAGGGGTTAATATCCAAACTTTATAAAGAACTCATACAATGCAACATCGAAAAAAAGAAACAATCCAATTTAAAATGGGCAAGGACCTAAATAGACACTTCTCCAAAGAAGGCATACAGATGGCCAAAAGATATACGAAAAGATGCTCAAAGTCACTAATCATCAGAGAAATGCAAATTTTTTTGTCACCTCACACCTGTCAGAATGACTATCATCAATAAGTCAAAAAACAAGTGTTGGAGAAGATGTGAAGAAAAGGGAACCCTTTTGCACTGTTGGTGGGAATGCAAATTGGTACAGCCACTGTGAAAAACAGTATAGAGATTCCTCAAAAAATTAAAAATGGAACTGCCGTATGTCTAGCAATTCCACTTCTGGGTATATATCCAAAGGAACCCAAACACTCATTTAAAAGAATATATGCACCCCTATATTCATTGCAACATTATTTACCATAGCCAAGCTATGGAAGCAAACCAACTCCTCATCTGTAGATTAGTAGATAAAAAGCTGTGGTACATTCAGACAATGTCCATTAAAAATATAGAAATTGCCCTAACTGGTTTGACTCAGTTGATGGAGGGAGCATTGGCCTAGGGACTGAAAGGTCCTGGGTTCAATTCCAGTCAAGGGCATGTACCTTGGTTGCGGGCACGTCCCCAGTAGGGGAGGTGCAGGAGGCAGCTGATTGATGTTTCTCTCTCATCGATGTTTCTAACTCTATCCTTCTCCCTTCCTCTCTGTAAAAAATCAATAAAATATATATTTTTTAAATCTTACCATTTGAGGCAGCATGAATGAACCTAGAGGTTACAATAAGTGAAATAAGTCAGTCAGAGAAAAACAAATACCACATGATTTCACATATATGTGGAATCTAAAGAATATAAATGAATGAACAAAATAGAAATGGAATCATAGATACAGAGAACAGACTGATGGTTGCCAGAGGAGAGGGGATTTGGGGGACTGGGTACAAAGGTAAAGGGATTGAGAAGTACAGATTGGAAATTACAAAATAGTCATGGGAATATAAGTACAGAATAGGAAATATAGCCATTAATATTGTAATAATTATGTATAGTGCCTGTTGGTTACTGGAAATATTAGGGGAAATGCTTTGTAAAGTATATGATTGGCTAACCACTATGCTGTACAACTAATTGAAACTAATACAAAATAATATTGATCATAAACTGTAATAGACTATTTTTCAAAAATAAAAAGAAATTTTAAGAAAATAAAATAAAATATCTCCTTTATATATAAATATGACAAACTTAAAAGAAGACATTACAGTCATTGTAGGTTACATATGTTTGGCCTAATAAATTTGAGAGGTGGGCTTAAATGTTATCTTTTCCTGAAGCAGAATTTGAATACTGCTTAAAAAGAGAATTTAATGATGAAGAAAAATTTGTACTAAATTATTTTTAGTGTTCCATGTTCATGCTTGCCAATTTATATGACATCAGAAATTGTTTTAACATTCTGTATGCTGGGGAAAACAATTTCAACTGTATGAGATAAAAATAATTCATTTTGAAATATCTCTTAAGCACTTTGGTAGAGAAGCATTCATTGGAAATTATTCTATGAGAACTGTAAGACATTTCTGAATAAATACTGAATTTGCCATAGGATTTGAAGCAAAATTCACACTTAAAGAACGGATTGTGTGCCGCAGATGTATTTTGGTTAACCATTTGGAATTAGCAGTTTGATGAACTGTCAGATCAAATGGATGCTGATGAATTTTTCATGTTGAAGAAGTCCTGGGAGATAAGCACCTGCTTCTGTTCTTCAGAACTTGATTACCCTGAGAGAGAAGAGACATGCCTCTACCAAACTTCTGACATTTAAAAAAAAATCAGACTGTGGAAGATAGCTGTCTAAATTTCTGAGATTCTGACTCAAAAACATTTTTTCATTTTATTTAGGAGTCATATATGGAAGGACACAATCATTATTGCTGATTATAAAATATTTTCTAAGATTCCTGTCATTTGGATTAGTCAATCCACTTGAGATTATTGTATTTTTATCTGGGGCTAATTTTGATGCAAACAAAAAAAAACCTTCTGTGGAGTATTTTCACATGCTATAAAGATGTTCCAAAAAGTGGTCTTTATGATAAGGACTTTGCCCATGAGTGATATGTATTTTAATTGGCTTTGGTTCTCATTTAGCATAATTCTAAAAATAAGATTCTATTTACTTTTTTAAAAGGTGCCAATGGTACATAAAGGCAAAAATGAAGTCAGAAGAGAAGAGAAGAAACCACTTACAGAATGGGCATCGTAAGTAGTGAAGTGACTCTTTTCCATTGTTTTATATTCAAAATTTCCTTGTAAACTTGGATCAGTGAGTTAAGAAAGCAAAAAAATCTACTTCCAACCTTTCATCAGGCTTCCCAGGTTTGTTGGTGGAAAGTGCACCTGCTTCTCATTAAATGATATTGCTTTGTTCCTAATTCTGCTTGCTGAAAAGCACGACAGACTGAATATGTCAAAAATACAAAATGGGCACTCCCAGTGTCTCCAGCATGTGAGCTGGTTTATTTAGTGGAGCATTCGCCACAGAAATGTTATGGAATCCGTATTCCTTCTTGTAGGAACTGTCATTTAAACATATAACAATCAATTTACAGTTCATTAACACTAAAACAGAAAATCAGCTCCTTAACTCTAACAATATGTATGAAATCCTTGAGCTGACTACAAGGTTATATCCATTTGAAGGATCTCTTCCCAAGCAAGCTGTAATTACCACTATAGTGAGTTTTGTAATTGCCAACCTCTCCTCCCCAACACCCACCTCCACCTCCACCTCCACCTCCACCTCCACCTCCCAATGGCAAACTACTTTGTCAAGTAGCGAGAGGCTGGATTAACAAGAAAGGGATGTTTTCCAATTAACCACAGTATAGAGATGATATGTGAGGTGAGCTGTTTATTTAAGCTCATCTTCTACTTCAGATTGAGCCAAATGAGTAAGGGGCTTTTAAAACTCTATCACCATCCAGGGGAGGGGATTCAAGAGAGGACATTATAAACTAGAGAGATAATTTAGGGCTATTTATAAGCCTCACATGACTTCTCAAAGAGTGGTCTAAGGACCATCTTCATGAGAATACCCCACGCTCACTCACCAGAGGTCTGATTCAGAAGAGCCGGGGTAGAGCCAACATATCTGCATTTTTAGCAAGCTCTCCAGGTTGTTCTTGTGTGCAGTAAGTTTGAGGCTGATTGCACTGGCAGGGAAGGGGGAGCTGAGACAGCCTATACCAGGCATGGAATGAGCTGGAAACAGATGCAGAAACATGGATCCAAACACCTGGACAGATAACGTATGCTGAGCAACCTTAAGATTCACTGTGGGGCATTTAGAACTGAAATGCAGAAGAAAGAGATGCTCCTGAGGTATTTATTATCCGTTTTCCAACTAACAGTTTAGCATAAACTAAACCAGATGGGCCCAGCGAGAAGCAATGAAAATAACCTGAGGCAGCCAAGGAGATAGAAGAAAGATAAACTGATGTTTCAAAAGACTGGGATAAGTTAAATGAGTAATCAGACAGTCAAAATTAGAACTAAGTTGGATTTTTTTTTCTATAATACATATATTATGTTTACAAGGGGAAAAAGTGATATTAACTAATCAATTTATTCCTTAGAAATGTGTATCACCTTAAATAATTAAATGGTTGAATTGTTAAAATCACGTACGAGTTCATAAGTAATCTTTTTTATCTGTGCCTAAAATATTGTTATCAGTTAGATACTACTGATCATAAAGTAGTGGCCACTGAATTTGAGTTTATGGTATTCAAACTGAAATTACACAAATGCCATATAGAATATAAATAAGAGATACAGATTATCCATTCTCCTTTCCTCCAATCTAAACTTTAGGAAATCAAGAAAGGCATAGCATTTCAGAATAATGTCAGGTCTAAGCTCATCTAGAAATATGCTTCACTAGTGCTATTTTGAGAAGTACTATTCTCATGGGTACATATCTAGTACCAGAAGACAGCAGGCAAAAAAGTAATAAAAGAAGGCAGCAGGCATAGGAGAACTCATGAAGCAAATTATTGCTGATAATGGGCATTTCATTACCCTTTCTAAACTCACTGTATTATCTTTTGTTTGCTTGATTTTGAGACTTTTCTTGAAAGAGCATGTTTCAGGGCAACCTAGACAATACTTAACTTAGTATGTTGTGTGGCTTTCAAAATCTAAGAAACCACAAAACTAAATATGAATTTGTATTGATCTTTTAATCCCTACTAATTTGTATTCAATATTATGTCTATGCCAAGGCCAAAAGATATAATATTACCTATAAAACCATACCTAAAGTATTTGGAAATATACAAAGATGTAGAAGAAATGATCTCCTGTCCTCCAGAAGCTAGAAATCTAATATAGAAAATACAAACCCCTGAGCAAAACAGAGGAATTCCCACAGGCAGTCTGTGACTTCTGATACTAAAGAAGGTGCAAATGATATGCAACCACGCATTCAGGTTTTCCAGCCATCCCTGTCTTACTGCCCGTGGGCAGTGAGCATCCACCCCCACCAGAGGAAGAGTAGCAATTACACAGCCAACCACCAGATGTGTGCCTTTCACTCCTATCCTTCCCTTCAGAAGAGGCAGGGGTCCCTTTTCAGGACCATGTATGTTCTGTCCATGGAAGCAACTACAGAACAGGAAAGAACTACTGTTGGTTGTTGTCTTCTGACACTGGGCCATGGGTCTATTCTTTACTGCCTAAGAGTTCCTGTAAGGGGAGAAACCACAGGACTGGGGCATAAGTTCAGGAAAACCTAGTGCAGTGGTTCCCAACCTTGGCTGCACATTAGAATCACCTGGGAATCTTTTTCAAATCCTGATTTCTGGGCCTCATCCTCCGAAAATTCTGTTTCTTGTTATGGGGTGGGGCACAACATCATAACAAAGAAACAGAATTTCCGGAGGATGAGGCCCAGAAATCAGGATTTGAAAAAGATTCCCAGGTGATTCTAATGTGCAGCCAAGGTTGAGAACCACTGACCTAGTGCCTTAAAGTACAAGGGGCCCAGGATGGATGCATTAACAGGCTTGCTTGCTTGTTTGGGGCGTGAGAATTGAATGGGGGAAAGTTCATGCCTCATTTCCCCCATGCCCTGAGCTAGATCAGAGGTGAAATGTATAGGTTGTCAGTGGTAAGTGAGCAGATTAAACTTTCTACAGAAATATAATAAAAATGTATTTTCTGGAACCAGTCAGCTCACTTTCTATTAAACCACCAGGTCATTTTACATTAACAGCAAATAAAATTTTATTCCAAGTACTCAAAGCTTTAATGGAATGGGGGCATTTGGGGGGAGGGGGGCAGAAAGAGAAAAAAGAATTGCATTTTAGTAATTAACAAGAATGACTACTTCAGTAAGTGGCTCCTTATTTTAAATAGTCACAAGATGTGTAAGTACTAAAAAAAACTCTTACGCTAAATCAGTCTTTTATTTTGTTGCAGTACGCTTCCCAGGAATTAAAACTTACATAGATCCAGATACATACGAAGACCCATCCCTAGCAGTCCATGAATTTGCAAAGGAGATTGATCCCTCAAGAATTCGCATTGAGAGAGTCATTGGGGCAGGTAAACATAAAATCTATATTTTTGAAAATATATGATTCCTTAATGGTTTAACTGGTTTATCAATATAATATGTTAAACCTTATAGTCTTAGTCATCAAAAAATGTTAAGAAATGAAAAGTAAAATTGTTATTTTTTTAAGTATCTTAAATGTCTTAATTCCGTTTCCAAACAATGAGAAAATTCAGAAAAGTTACTTTTAATATCCTATAGTCTTCTTTCAGTATGGAGATGAATTATAATAAAACTAGAGTGATTCAGGAATTTATTTTTAAAAATGTAATTTCAGGAGTTTGTCACAGGTTATTATTGATTTATTAAAACCTCAACATCTATAAGTATATACTACAATTAGTATTAATATTGATGATATTGCGGCTCTGCAAGATCCAGAAGTGTTCTGAGAATCATTGCAGATAAAATATATCATTTTAATGTAAGTTAATAATTTTCTCTATGTAGAACATTCAAACACTCAGAACACTATACTTTCAACTGTTCTGGATAAATGCAAATACATTTTGAATCAGCTTTCAAGAATTTATTCTGTACATTAGGGCAGAGGCTAAGCCAAGTGTAACAAAGAAAATTCATTCCTCTTTGAAGTCCCTGACTCAACGTGAGTAATCCATGCTGGCCCAGGAATTCTCATTCAGATTTTGAAAGAGTAGAAGAGTTGATCTGCCTTTCCCTAGTATGTCATTCTCCTCACCAGCCATCTCTCTTCCAGCCTGTGAGAGGAAGGAAAGAGTTGTCTCTTTGGCTGTATCTTTAAGGCAATTACCCACCAATTTAAAACATGTCTATTCACTCGCAATCAAAAACAGTAACATGGACACACTTAAATGCAAGATAATTTGGAAATATAATCTGTGACCAGGCAGCTAAAAGAGGGAAAGGGAATAATTTACTAAATAGGGAAGAGAAACTGGATCCTGAAGGGAGATATTGGTCTCCTCTAGAAATGCTGAATATATGTACAATCCTTTGGACAGAGCAGAACATAGCAAAGCATGACCATTCTAGCCAGGTATCATCTCTATGCAAAAGCCAAAAAAAAAAGGGATCTGATTAGTCCTTGTCCCTTTCAAAGCTTTTCTTCATGGGAAAGACCAGCTAAATAATTAGAGGGGGCCAGTGCAAAATGAAAATGTAGAGTCCCTTGTTAAAGAGTGATTACAAATGTCTTAGGTAGCAACAACAGAGCATTAAGCAAGTGGCAGTGCCTGGGTAGAGAGTCCCTTGTTCATTTGATTCCCTATGCTCAGTGGGTCATCTCATCTCCTACATGGCCAGGTCTCCCTCTAAAAGCTGACACAAGGGTCCTATACATTTAATCCTAATGCTCACAGCCAGAAAGAGGCTGTCATATCAGAAAGATTAAGTACCTGGAATGCAACCAGAATCTCTTTCCACTACTACTGAACATAAAGAACATCAATATGCATTAAAGACATAATTGAAAAGAGTGATTGCATTACAGTCATTTATTTTGAGGGTTTGTTTTCTTAAGACAGCAGAGGAAGAGAGAAGAAATGAAGTTGAATGATTCCATCACACCCTGACTTTGGCTTTCCGCCTCTGACATGTTCTTTAACACTGAGTATTCCGTACTCTCACACACACAGCAGAGCGCTTTCTCTCTTAGCCCTTTGTGCAGAAATTAAACACTGCTGTCTGAAATCATATTAAAAGATAAAATCAAATATCTAAAGTGTAAACAAAGAAATTAAATTTTTCTTCAGATTCAGGCTTTTCCCAGATAAAATATAAATTTTGCCTGTAAAATGTGTAACAGACACTGCCAAAGTAAACAATAGCTATTAATGGGACTGTTTTAATATATTTCTTTGATTTGCCAAAGCAAATATCTAAACGATGTAGTCAGTCCTATACATCAGTGTCTCCTTTTTATATTTATCTTTGACTGTTTCAACTTTCAAATAATATGGTAAGCATCCTTTTACAGTGCATCTTCAAGAAAATATAAAAACAAAAATTCTTTTTTTTAATATATTTTATTGATTTTTTTTTTACAGAGAGGAAGGTAGAGGGATAGAGAGTTAGAAACATCGATGAGAGAGAAACATCCATCAGCTGCCTCCTGCACACCCCCCACTGGGGATGTGCCCGCAACCAAGGTACATGCCCTTGACCGGAATCGAACCCGGGACCCTTCAGTCCGCAGGCCGACGCTCTGTCCACTGAGCCAAACCAGCTAGGGCACAAAAATTCTTTATAAGACAAAGTTGTTATAACTTTCCTCTTTGTGCTCCTGATCAGTACTGCTCTGTTAATTAAATTTATTAGGTCATCCTGGCCAGGTGGCTCAGTCGGTTGGAGCATTAAAAGGTTGCAGGTTTGATTCCCTGTCAGGGCACATACTCAGGTTGCAGGTTCAATCTCTTGTCAGGTGCATATGGGAGGCAACCAGTGAATGTTTCTCTCACACATTAATATCTCTCTCTCTCTCTCTCTCTCTCTCTCTCTCTCTCTCTCTCTCAAAAAAAAAAAAAATTAAAAAGGAAGTCAATAAAACTATATCATATCCTCGGGTGAGGGTTAAAAATATTTTTTTTCATTCATTATTAGGTCACGTTCCTAAAACTCAAATTGCATGTGAAAACAAGCTCATGAACGTGTGGACTTTTCCTACAGCAGCAGTGTGGGAAAAACATTGTTTAGTCAAATTAAAGAAGAACTAATACAGTTACGTAACATCTATGACATAATTGCACAGCTGGTTATTTGCCCAGATTTTTACTGCAAATACTTTACTTAGGTTGTCTTAGATCCTTTATTTCCCCCCCCCCCCCACCTATTTGTGTCTTTTCAGACTCTATTTCATCATCATCTGTGTGTATTAGGTATTCCCCTTGGAAGTGTAAATTGAAGGACATAAGTAGGAGTATAGATGGACAGAAGTGGAATAGAGTTAAGGAGATGAGAGAAACAAGCAAGATTTCAGGTCTTAATAATTGTTAGGTTAAAAGACATTCTGTTTTGACAAAGGCATTGCGAGTGGCAGTAGATTCACAATTCATTGTTGAGGAAAGATCTACAAGACCTGCATGATGTTATCAAAGAAATGAGTAAGAATGTTTTCCAGGTTTCTAGTTGGGAGACACAACGTGTAATTATTAAATATTCCTTAAATGAGTTATTTAAAAACGAACCCAAAAGTAACCACATTAAAATTTTAAGAAAGGAAAGAGCATGGAAAATTATATCAACACCTAACCCATGATACTTCTTAACATGTCCACTGAAAAATGTTTATTAATTGGCTAATGTCTATTTATAAAAGGTACTTATGCTACAAAGTTTTTTCATATTGAGTCATTATGCTCATCAAAGACATATATATTCAATCTGTCTTTCACACACAATCTCTGTCCCAAGGTTTTCAATTTTATAACCATCCAGAATTTAATTTGTCCTATGTCTATTTAATCTGTCCTATGTCTAGGCTATATACCTATGTATTCTTAAAATTTCTTGTCTTTCACTATAAAGTTTACTGTATTTTTACACTTTTTCTTTTTTGTATATCACTATTCTATTTAATAGTGGCAGCTTATCTTTGTTCATCAATACAGGCCTCAATACAGGCCTGAATTCCATGAAAATGCGCATTTCCATTTAAATGAAGTGAGCGGCTCTGTTGCATAGGAGACTATCCAGATCATCTATCGCCTTTGACTTTTTGCATCATAAAATGAAATACTGTGGCCAGAGGACGATTAGGGTAGAATTATTATTTTATACATATCTTGAGATAATGAGAAAACTGGTAAACTGAATTTTAATCACGGGCTAGAAAAGGTCATTGAAAGGCTATCCCTTTTTCAGGGCAGTACTGAACCTAAACCATTATAAAAAAAAACTTTAGCAGAGTATAAATTTGAAACATTATTCCGTTGAAAAAATCATTTTTGTGTCTCGAAGCCCATAGGGCATTCTTCTTACTTTTGACCTTCCCTCTTTCCCTAGTCTCAATGGAAATGCATAAAATCTCCCCCTCATTCATTCTATCCCTTTATCCATACCAAACTCATTATTGCCTCTACTATCAGCCTTATCTTCTCATGGCTTAGTGTCACCATATTTTTTTCTTTTTCTGGAATAGCCTAGGAAGTTTTAACTATTCGTTTTTCAACAGTCATCTGCAGGTAAAAGAAAAGCAAAAGGACAACAAAAAGGATATAAAAGTGGGTGTCAAACCAATGATTTATTCAGCCTAAAATTGGTTCTGTTACTGCCATCTTGTTTGAGGTCACAGTTGCCCTTGATGGTATAGAAGGCAAAATGCTTACTTTATGTACCTCTCCTAATTCCCCTGTCATTCCCTAGCCAGCCTCTTATCTCTGCTGTAGAATCTATTATTTTTAAGGTTTTTAAAAAACTCTTTCATTCTCTTTATTATTTTTGTTTCTCATCTATAGCTATATGATATTTTCTTACAGCATAACAATAAGAAATGTAGACAGGATTCCAGATGTAGTTTCACAATTTACTTTTTTATAGGAAGAAAAATGTGTCTAGGGGCCGTTTCCCCTATATTTAGATGAGATGCTAATTTTGTCCTTGTCCAGCAATTTAAAGGATTTATGGTAGAGGCCAGATTAATTTTCTTTTCTATTCTTGGTAATTCCTTTGTCCAAAATAGACTGAAAATAGGATCAACAACAGATTCTGGCAAGATCTTTGTCCCTTTTACCCAAGAATTTCATAGGTTTCTAAATTAAATGATGTAATGAAAGATGGGCTTTATCCATTTTCCATGGACATTATGATATGAATTAAAAAGACAGACTGAAACCAGACAGACCCTGCTTGTATCACAATTATGGTACTAATTCACTCTCTGACCTTCATAAATTTAGTAATCTTTCATAAATTTGGTTTGCTCACTTTATAATAAATTCATAATGATAATAGCTGTCTTGCAAGATTAATGTAAGAATTGGTGATGACACATTAATGAGTAACTTGGAACTGA